TTTTTTTTTCAATCGTCTCTTCACTAATTTTGTTATTTTGGACTTCAAAGGACTGTTAAGTTGAAAAATAGGCATACTTTCTCACAAGTACTTTCTCAAGTATTTGACAGAGAAACAGCAAAAGGGAGCATGTCTGAAGCATTTTATTGCAAATCACTTACCTTAATCAACCATGCTCATCTGGTTGGTTGTCAAGCTTCGTAATACTTACAACCTGTTAGAGAATGTTGTAGGATAAAAAATTCTGAATATCCTACACTAAAATATAAACACAGATACATGAGCATCTTAAACCCAAACCATATTTCAGCCCTTAAACAAAGTAAGAGTAATGAACAAAGCTATTGTCTCTGTGCAATTTATTTTGAATTCAATTTTTAATGATTAATGTAGATGCTCTTATTAACAGAATAGTTTTGTACTTCTATGTTTGCATTTTTATTTTTACAAGGAATATTAGGCACCAGTTAATCTGGATTCTAATTGCAAGCAACTAGTCTATATCTTGAAGAGACTCCAAAGAGTTTAAGAGTCTTCTGGGCTTATGTTGATATTAATGACATTCGGAATATGGATGAAAGATTCAAAGATCTTTTTTCTTTCAGATTAATCCTGATGCCTTTTATTAACATTAATTGTTTCAAAGTAAAACAAATGTTTACTGTTTCTGATGCTCTGCCTCAAGCCAATTGATGCAAGAAGAGAAGAGTGTGGTATTTAAGATTGTTAAATATCTTAAGTGATATAATAATACATGCTTTGCAGACTGCGTGCCATGCAGTTTCCTCTGCCTTCATTTGTTATTAAAATAAGTATATGCAAAATAAAAAGAAACTAAAATCAAGTTTCTTGTTCATTATATTGATTCCTTGTAAAAGTCCATAAAATAAAACATAGACTTATTGCCAGTGTCATTCTGTTCTTCTCTCTTTGTATATGCTAACTCAGACCATTTCCAATTTTAAAAATAGACCTTATTTCACAGTTTGGTAACTCACTAATATTCACTCTTGAATAACAAGATGAAATGTTTATCTAAAACACGATTATAAGTGTGTTTGTCATAATTTTTATCACAAAGCAAGTCATTCTCAGTGACAATCACAGCTTTGTCACACCATCTTTTATTAACACAAACATCCTTGGTTGTTAGATCACAAAAATTTAAAAAGGATTAAATGATTGATTTTGAACAGCATTGTGTTTCATCTTTGGGTTTAGCTTAGCCCCTGTGTAAACAGGCTTAGCGTTGTCATTAAGAATTACACCCATTTATGCCAGGGATTAACATGCCAGGATCTCTCTCTGTGAAATCACAGCTCCATTCTAAAGATGCAGCTACAGTTATTTTCTCTTCATTTTTAGTAAATGCACATTTAACTGCAGGCTGCTCTGGTAGTTTGCGGGGATGGAGATTAAACCTGAAGTGAGTGCAAAAGATTCAACTCTGCTCTAATTCAGAGTAAAAACTGTTTCTCAGAGGGATTGTCACCCACATGCAAGTGCTGGAGCGCAAACCTCCTCCTTGAAATGCCTCACACTGTCTTTTCACTTCTCCACCCACCACTCTTTCTCATCCTCTCACTGTTGAGTGTAATCAATGTCATTGGAAACTAAGCTGCCCGATTCCTCAGAATGACATCTGACTACTGTGCTTAATAGAGTATGTAGCAAACAGAATTAAAAATGGCAAAGCTTTTCCTAGTGTAGAATAAAAGACCAGTGGTAGGTTCGGATTCTCTAAGCCCATCTGCTAAATCCTACGCTGCACAACAACCCTTTTATTCAAGTTCAAAGATGCAGCTCCTCCATTTAAAGAGCACTTGTTATTTGGGAGGAAATGGAGGCTAGAGTGTGCCTGACACTAAAGAAAGAAAAAAAAGAACGTTGGCTCTGCAATGAAACTCTCCAATACAGCCAGTCTGACCCAAGCATAATTAATCAATTGTATGCTCTTTTAGCAAACCAATTACTTTTATTCTTTGGCTTTTGGCTTGTCCAAATGGCAGTTTAAATTGATATTGTCGTAAGTGACAGGGAAGTGTGGTAAGACTGATGTCTCTCTCCCTCTCTCTCAGGCACTGTACTGAATTTGTCATTCTGTATAAAATACTAACTGCTGTATGATTGCTACAGGACTACATGTTGTCATGCCAATTAATATGTTCTCTGTTTTTCTACTTCTTTTCCCTCTATCTTTTTTAATTCGGGAAACTATGCCTACTAGATGCATTTTGTATTCAAGTTTATTCTCCAGCTCTACTGCTGAGCAGTGTTAGGATCTCACAAAAGCTAATGAGAAAGGTTGTAGGATTGTTGGGGGGGGGTTTATTGGCAGCATTTAAAAATCATAAACAGTAAATACGCAGATTTTCCCTTTCACATATATAAAAATAAAAACAGAAAAAACTAATATAACCCATTTTTGGTAACTCACCAATCTTTCAGCCTTGTGAACACTGTGATTCCTTGTGTTTTTATAGGGCACACTGTATATATTTATCAACGGAGGTTTGTTGCTTGCCAACGTGACTAATTTACTTTGCTTTTATATCGTGTAAAAGGATAAACTGGACCATGTAAATACTAAAACATGCTACATGCCATGCTCACATTGTCTGTCGCTCATTTCCCTAACCTGCCTTCATATGAAGTTCTTTGTCTCTAGGAATTTTCACCATCTATCTCCACTGCATCTTTTTTCTAGCTGAACGGGACACACTACAGAGAGGACCATACACTAGATTTATGCAGTAGCTGTAGAGCATTCTATTTTTACATCACATTTATAACTATATAACATTCTATTTTTACATCATCTTTATAAATTTTAAGATTTTGGATATTTTTTATAACTAGCAGCACACATTAAGTCTGTGTTTTTAATAAACTTAAAAGTTCATTTAGTATCAATACACAGGAATGTTCAGATTATTCTTTGAGCATTTATTAAATTGTATATGTCATCGGTGGGTCTTAGCCATCATTAAACTAATTCACTTGCTTTCTTAATCTTTCATTTCCCTTCAAAAATTGTAGTAACCTGATCACTAATACATTCTCTGAAAATGTGACTAGCTTGTTGCTAACTCCTTTTTCACAGTAACAACTGACAAGGTTCCTTTGGCTAACATTAAGTATGTGAAGCTTCGTAACACAGATATTAGGCTTAATATTCTTGATGATGTACATTATACCACAAATAACTCAAATTTTCAGCCTTTTGGATGAGTGCTCCTCTGCAACCATAAGTGTGTTTTAAAATAATGAACATATTCCTTCCTGGAACTGTTGTAATCCCAGATAAAGCCTAAAAATTATTCTGCTATTTTCCTTTTAAGTTGTATTTCTAGTTTATAGAAAATCATTTAAGTTCTGTTGAACAGATGCAAGTATAACAGAAACTGAGATTGGGAGGCACTTCAAGGTGATAATCTGCAGATATGGTCTTGATTTAAATGGGACAACATTGGAACATATGGATTAAATTTAATTGTCCTACCTTGATTGAACACAATCAGGATGCAGAGACTTCTGTTATTCTTTTGTATTTGCTCCCCAGGAGGTTAGGAGCGTAGCTTCTGTCACTATAGAGTTCTACTTGAAAGAAGGTAAAAACATTGTTCCCTAAAGAAAAAGCAAAAGCAGGTGTATCGTAAAGCTACCTGCACTGTTACAAACATATGCATAGCACATATAAACTACAACAAATGAAACATTCCATCTTTGTAATAAATTGAAATACACTGTGCACATATGGATGAAAGACAAAGCCTATAATATTCCACTAAGATGTGAAAATACAGTACTACTTGGGAGAAAAAGACTTTGAAGATAGGTCTTTCTACCTCCAATCCTTACCCTAATTCCTTTGTTTACCCAGCTTTCACCCTCTTTCTGTGACAGACTCTTTTTTCCTTTTGCCTCCTGCATTTCATTTCATTCACTTCTAGGGCAAATGTCCTCATGCTGCCACACTGTCTCCTGTTATGCATCTTCTCCCAATATGGTGCCCATGGTTCCTCAGTTCCCTGTTCAGTTCTGCATCTCATTATTCTTGCTTTGTCAATCCATCCAAGCTTCCTTCTTATTCCAGTTCCCAGAGGAAACACTCATTCATTCTCTTGTTTGCCTTTGAGCTGCACCTTCATCTTCCTCCCCTCCTGCCTGTATGGCTCTTGCTTTCAAATCAGGCAAGCTCTTTCAGTTGCTTGGTACTAGCAAAGGGTGGAGGATGGCCACGGGACAGGGAAGTTCCCTTCTCAGTTCCAAGCCCAGTCCAGGCATGACCTATAAGCCTGGACCAGCAGGTACAACAAAGAACCTACCAAGATGCCCATGGCAACCCATGTAGTTCTTATTGACTATATACTAACTGTAATTGCATTTAGCAGACTTAGACTTCTCCAGTTTCTGGCTGATTCTCAAGAGGAGAGTCACATAACTGTCACATAACTGATGTAAAAAACCCCTCATGTCCAATCTTTGTTCCAAACATGAAGAGAAGTTTACAGATACTGAAAGGCAAAGTGACTTGTATTATCAACAAGAACAATGTTTAATATTTTTATAATATGTATATATGGTTTATTTCCAAGGTTGTTCAACCACCCATTATGAGGATGCTCTTTGAAGAAAGACTTATTTATCTATGAGTGGTCTACTATTATCACTTCCATTACAAACAGCATACCCTAAGGTATATTTGGCTTAAAATAACTAAAAAATACAGCCAATACCTCTATATTAATTTAGCATCTATACAACTCATTGCATTCACACAAAAAGAAAAAGCAATCTGTTCTGTGCAGAATGAAATAAAACTCTCTTGCTTCCATCCTAGAATAACCCAGCCAGCAAACTTTACTGCCAATGTTTGTGTATACAGCTCCTGTGGAAACTGCTTAATTGTCTACTCAGCACAGGAAAAGGGAGAAATGGAGCATATGTCAACAGATCAAAGAGCACACTGGAGCAGTGAATAAAGATCACACCATAAATCAAAATGAAGTAGCAAAAATTTATGTTAAGTGATTTCCGCTGGTATTTTATACAAATTTCAGGATGGTTTGTTACAAATTTTTAGTCATTACTAAACAGCAGAATCTGCAGATTAACTGAGTCGCAAGCAAAAGATAGAAACAGCAGATTCCAATACAAGAAACTTTTCCCTGGTATCACTAGGGTTCCTGCTGTCTCCCCTTCTGCCCTGCATTTCAGTTGTCCTCTTCAGATTCAGTGGATTTGTAGATATGGCACAAGCACCTGGCCTTGGTTTCGCTGGAAAAAAAACAACATTTTTTCACATGAGTTAATTGTTATTGACTAGATACTTCAAAATTAGTGCAGGAAAAAACGTTGGTCACTTTCTTTACATTATAGCTGCCTTGTACTTGCTTAAAAACTAAGCAACATCTAAACCAAAAGGTATCATTCTCATGTATCCCTGTGCATAATGTAATGCAATACCAGTGGAGATGGACAAAAAATACACACTATTGATAAATCAAGCCAAAGCAAATGAAGCCAAAGCTCAATTCTAACAAGATTATCTTCCTCTAACTGCCATTTGAATACATTCGCAAGTCTGCTTTACCAGCATAGGAAGTCATGCTTAACAACAACAAAAAATTATTTGCAATTAACAATTTAAATGTTTTGGATTTATATAATATGTACTCCAATACATATATACCATTAGCAATTTCAGGTACATAATTGATTAAAGAAGTAACTTCAGATTTCATAAGTGAAACTTACAGCTTCTTTCTGTACCAGGCATACTTTGTTTGCAATACCCTAATTTTTCTTTTCTCCAGAAATTAATTAATAAGAAGGCATTTTAAACTGCATTTCCTATATAGTTGTTTCTCTTTTCTTCCTTTCATTTCAGTAGTTCTACTTGCTTTTCTTTTGCCAATATTGTAGTATTAGTTTCCCAACTAATACAGAAAATTTGAAAGTATTTAAAAAATACATCCTTGATTAAGCTTTTTGAAAACTGAAATGTCGCAAAACCAAAATACAGAAAGTCCTACTCAGGCTCAAAAGTCCTTATCAGGAACAATGTCTTTGTCCATTTTCCCTTTTATCAATCTTACTTGTTCAGACTAGTTACAGTTCACTTTACAGCGGATATTCTACACCTACAGATAGTAGCTGATCTTATTACTTCTAAAACAGGCACCACTATTCTAAAAGAGGCAGCTAATACTTTAGCTGCAAGGTGTGGAAGAGAAACAGTCAATTTTGCTCAGGGCCACATTAGAATTCAGGGTTTGGTTTCTTCTGATGTCACATTTTTGTTGAACTAACAACATAGCATATTAAAATCTTGCCAAAATCAACATATCAGTGTAAGAGCCAAAGCAAACATTGCATTAGCCTCTACACATGGAAAATCTACATCACACATATAAATAAGACTGCATGATGCTCAAGAGCTTATCATCACCATCACCCTCCTGGAAAATTCTACAACTGAAAACGCTTTGTACTAGATGACGAGCTATACATACTCAGAAGTCACGATTAATAGCACAGGGTAGCAATCTAATTAAAATATAAGCAGATATTTATTTACATTTCCCACAGAGATGCTACAGTCTTTTAAGACCTCAGGCTTGAAGAAACACTGCTATGTTTTAACCTTTGATTTATACCACAGGAGTTTTATCACAGGTTACAATAATGCCATTGCTAACCAAAGCTTCCTAAGCCACTTAATTCATAAAACAGTATCTTACTCTAATGGGAGTTTAGAATACACTAGAAATGCAGGATCAAATCCTACCTTCAAAGACCCCTTAATGCACCTCATTCTTGAAACAGATCTGGGTTTATGGAAATTAAGCAGGTCCCTCATCTCGTCAAAGGGGCTGAAGATACTTAGCATCTAAATTTAGGGGTTTTTTTCCAGAAGACAATCAGTTCTACTTAGTTTAGCAGCTAATAACTTGCAAAAAAATGGGTTGTTAGCTGTAATATGCTTACCCTTCAAACTAAAACAAAAGCAAGAAACGATACTTTGAGAGTTTCACTATATTAATGGCACTCAAAACTGCATGCATGTTATAGATAACATGCACCCTATATCCTTGTTGAAGTAAGAGATTTATTTTAGTCATCTGCCATTTCTCGTCCTCTTCTCCTTGTGGCTAAGTGACTGTAAAATTACATTTAAATAGCAGAAGTGGCATCTTTAAATACTAGCTAAACAGTCTCAGTATCACGGTCTGCATCTGAAAACAGTGTTTGCATTTTGGTTTTCTTCTTAAAAGCACTTAACCTACTACTGTAGTCCTGTCCTTTTACTGTGTCTCCACAGAGTCAATATGAAAACATCGTGTCTTTTTTTCTAAGACTCAAGCCCTGAGAAAGTAATCTCTCTCTGTAAACAACAAAAATATCTCAGCTGCCATGTAGGTCGCCATTTCAGTTGTGATTACACTACCCCATAGCAATATTAATAAAATGTACTCTGGACTACTCTTTTTGCTCCTCCCTCTAGCGTATCTGACATATAATAAAAATAATGCTTGTATGTATCCAGGCAAATGTTAACTATTTGGTTTCAGCACTGTTCAGGCATTTTGGCAATTCTTTTCTAAATGATGTTCAGTTTACAACTGATGGTATTGTAAATACAGTGTATACGTCACTAAGCTGTTACAGAACCTTGAGTTTGGCATGTTTCTGATGCCTTTCAGAGAAGTAAGTCAGGCACAGTCAAGGATGCCAACCACTGCCTAATCTGATACCTATGCATATCACATGCCGTTAGTATGAAATGGTAACTTACATGCAAATAAGAAAGAGATTTTGTCTTCATTATTTATGCACCAAGAAATTTCCCCCCCAAGAAGAAATACAGTTGCAAGACACACAGTAGTTAAAAGAGACATGACTCAGAAATTAACACAGCATAGCTTGTAGCGATAGTGAGAACATATTCTGTTTCTCCCAATCTCTGAAACAATTTTCAGTCGAAAACTTTTTCTACATTGTGAATTTCAACAGGAACAAGACACACGCTTATACTTATTGAGCAGTTATATTCAAGGAAGTAAAATAGTGCCTGGTCACAGTTATGACTAGATTAATGCATAGCTCTTTGTTGCACATAAAGCAGAAGTCAGAAATACCTGCCCCGCCCCCAATCATTTTGACACACATACATTTACAAAAAAATCAGGGAATGATTTTCAGTTCAATATATTTCTCCTTTTAGTGGCAAACACAAGATTTATAGGAAATATACGTACTCAAATTTGCTTCAGTTTCTGGAGTTCATGGTACAATTATCTACAAGGGTGCCTTTCGGTCGTTTCTTCAGGCTTGTTCAGAGATAGCAGCAATGGTTTTTGGAACTTGCTTTGTATCCAAACTCTCTGCATTTTCACTTTTTTCTTCCTGTTTACTTGTAATCGCCGATCAACTAAATTTTGTACTTCAGTTAATCCAGCCAAGTTGAACATGTTCCATACCTCCTCTATTTTCTCATATGAAGAATTGTTGTAATTAAAAGAAAAAAGACACTTTTAGAATGTAGCAATTAAATAAATTTTTGTGATTTGAAAGATCAAGGAATCTGCCTGTAAGAAGCCTTCTGTTAGAAATTAATTTTTCACAGCTCTTGATTTGTATTACACTAAAAAATGTTATATTGATGCCCAAAGCATTGGTTATTACTCGTGGCATTCATAGATCCCCTTTATTCAGAGGGTTCAGTGTGCCAGAATTGAGGAAAACAAAAGTATGCCATTTGGTCACTGTTCACATATTGTCAAGACAGAGCTATTTCACCTGCCAAAAGACAATCCACACATTTACCCCACCATCGTTATCTCCTTCTTGTCAGTCACCAGTGGAAAACTTTAAGCTTCTTTGTCATGAGTAAGCACAAAACAACACATTTAAAAACTGAGAAAGCTCTTTGAATTCAAGTGATTTCCCATACATGTCCCAGATCCTCCTTCTCACTTCTAAAATTACTTAGGATGGGATAAATCCTGATCCATCTCTATTGCTTACAGTCTAAATTGCAGAGGGTAAAAAGAAAAGAAAAAAAGAAAAGTACTGTGATGCTCACTTTCACAGTTTCTGGGCTCAGTTAAAATATACCAGTTTAAGTTGACTGCTAACAGAACCAAGTAAGTGGACAGGCAAAGAACAATAGTACCCATAATCAAGAATTTAAGTTTAGCTCTTGCAGAAAGAGCAGCCTCACAGCTCAGAATCACCAACAGAGCAAATAAAAATATCAGAGCACTGCTACCAAATTCCTAAAACGGTATGTTTCTCTCATATTTTAAGAAAGAAATCATACATCTTTAAATAAGAGAATTTGAGCATACCATTAGACACAAGATGCTTAGACAAAGAGAAATTCCAATGATATCTGCAAGCAATCTTGCAGGGCCCCAGATGCAACAAGTGTACACATAAACCGAATTATTTTCTACAACAGCTAGTTTTGGGCTTTGTGAAATCAGAGAATTTTTTTAAAAAGCCAATAAAACTTTCCTTAGATTTCTGTCTTAAGATGACCTTTTATAACCTGAAATATCTTGAAAGACACTTAATCCTTTCCACAAAACTATACCATTTCATACCTTTGGTAAAGAAATATACTCTGGTTCCATCTCCTCGTAGATAAAAATTTTCGGACAAGCAATGACCTGAGAAATTAGAGCAGCAATGAAAAAGGATATGTCACTTTTTTTTTTTTTCCTACAAAAGAATTAAAATGACAAAAAGCATTACAAAAGCATTCAGGAATTACCTTTTTTAAAACGAAGCTGAGCTGTATCATATCTTCCATAGTCTCGAAATAACAACATTCCTCCAGGTCTCAGTAGTTTAGCCAACCTATTTACAACCCCTTGCATCCTTAGAAAATAGATGGGATACTGGTGAAATTTCAAACATAACTGTTTTTTTTCTAGATGCTTGGATCATACATAGATTTCCAAAACTACAGTGAAAAAATATGTTTATATTTACAATAAAAAGGCCAGGCACTAGTGAACAGGAAGAACTCTTTACAAAAACACCTCTAAACCAAAAATTTAAAAGGAACTGTAAGAGAATACAAACTGGAAAGAGAAAAGTAGCCCTTCTCCTTCACTTCACCAGAATCTCAAGGATGGATTAAAACACAGTTTTTGAGTATATGGGGCAGGCAGATCCACGACGCACGAATGAGCAGTTCATTACACGCATTGGTGAGCTAGACTGAGCCTTCTTGCTGCACATAGCAAAACCAAGGGCCTGGAAGGCAGACATAAACTTACTTGATTTCCTTATTACTGATACTACACACAAAAATCACTATCTCCACACCTAATGGCTGAGGATGGAAAGAAGAATCTGAGTAGTACCTCAGGTGAGGAATCTGGCAGAACCCCATCTGGAGATATGGCTAGTTTGAGGAGGAAAGTCTGCAACCTCCAAAATGCTGACAAGTTTGTGAATCTTGCTGATATCTAGCATCAGCTCTTCCTTATCAAGATTACACCAGCCTGCTGTGTGTATTATAGGAATAAGCACTATACGCAGTACTCTTTCTCCTTCATTGGATCATCTTCATTCTCACTTTTTAACCTTACCTTGAAGTTTCATATAAATACATTTGCATTTCTCTGCAAAATACATTACTAATGAATGATGGCTTGGATTTGCCTTGCTCTTTCAGAAAAAACTAAAGACTCAAGTTTTCTATATGCATGAAAGACAACAGAAGACAGTCTGCACCTGGCAGGCTGCAAGACAGAAAAGTCCACTTGCCTAATTCAACCCTTCCTCCCACAGGGAAGCAGATAGACTATGAGGAAGATATGGAAGAAGAGTGAATGCTAAATGAATGGAAAGGAAAGGCAGGGTGACGTATCTGAAAAGAACTAAAGAAGAGTAAATCCTACTTAACTATACAAAATCAGCATACCATTACTGTGTACCAAGAGAACATGATACACCCTTCCTGTCTCTCAGGGGCCTTTACCCCCTGGCCCAAAGAATGTCAGAACTCAAGCACCAATGCAATTTGGTCCTTATGCAACAACAGTGCAGGCATCTTACCTTGATTTTTAAGGTACAGAATTAGCAGAAAATAGTATCGTGTTTACAAACAAAAAAGAACAAACAGCAGCACATACTTTTAGAGTATGGAATTCCTTTACAGGAAGCCAAGTGCTTTAAATATTGCTCTCTTTGCTTATGCTAAACACAGGCAGCCAAGGTGCACTGCCACAGACAGAAAAGGCAACATCACCTTAGAATAAGAGACTGTTCAAGAGAGGTAGTTGTGCACGGAATTACAGACTTTGCCTATATAAACATAAGTTTTGTGCACACAGAAAAAATATACATGCACAAAAAAAGAAAGTGCTTTGAGAAATCTCATCCTGTAGGACTAAAGTACATTAATTATATAGCTTGAAGAAAGTTTAATACCTTTCAAATTCTGCAATCAACTTTTAGAAGGAACTTGTAGCAGAATTGAAATGTGTTAAAAACGGGGTACAAGAGTAGCAATTATCAAAGACAAACCACACCAGCCTGAAGTGAAATCACTATGTAACAATTGTGCTGAATACAAATATGTCCTTCTCATGTATATTTTCCAGGTCTCCAAAGTACTGAAACTCTGCATGATCATTCTTTTGGTGTTTCAACTTTCAAAGTTTCCAGAAAAAATGTACACTGAGCAAGATGGATCTGGATTACATTTGCCTTTACACAGTCATTTTAATTCTATGAGATGACAGTAATGACTAACAAATCTTTGGAAAGTGGGTCTTACAGATAATTACATGGAAATCTTTGTGTGTATATACACACACAGGCAAAAGCATCCATGACAGCCTTTAGATACTGACATAGGGAGGCAAAAAACCCCACAACCCAAAACCTACAAACACATTTTCAAATGACTAATAGGAAAAGATCCACAGAAATTCTGACAGAACATCTGATTACTGCTTCTACAGGCAAAGCGAATGAATGAATGTGCCTCTATTGTCCAATTTCTTCCTGGCAGCATCACCACAGTTACAGAGATCTGAAATCTACTGCTTGAATTGTTTTTGAAATCTGGACCCAGGCTTTGCATGACTCATGTGCTCATCTCTGAACAAACAGGAAGGAGCCATATCCTATATAGGAAAGATATTTCTGTAAAGCTAATCATTAATAACTTAGGCAGGGAGGCAGGGAAACAGTTCTCAGACTTAGGCAAATACTGTTCTGTTTGCCAAGCCCACATTAATGACATTCTTAAAGTAATAAATGTATTACCACGCATACAGCATGTATTTCCCTTCATATGATCTAATTAAAGGAAGAGTGAAGTTTAACTTACATGCTCTCTTTTGCGTTTTTCCCATTAAAAGAAGGGGCATTTTCACAATCAGCCAGCCTTAACAGTCATAAAGTTTGGTTCATCAGAGATCGAAAGGCATTAGTAACAAGGCTAACAGCACTCAACATAACACTATGCATGAAAATTAGATCAAGTTCTCTTAATCTAAACAAGTTTTAAAATTCTGAATGCATTTTGGTTTTAAAAACCCGCATGTAAGCATTTGCATGTGGGTAAATCAGCAACCTAAGTCTTTATCAACATATTGTAAGGTGTTAAATCATGAATGCTTGGGTTTGGTCACTGAAAATAATTTCCTCCTAGAGGACTAGTGGTCTGTTTTTTTAATTTGTAATTTTCTTGAATCACTGTCACTTTTAATAGGGATGTATTTAGTTACAATATACTCCTTGTATTTTGATGGAGACAGGAGGCTCACTAACGAATTAGCCTGACCAGCTTTTCTCTTGAAGCCTGAAAATAGGAAACAGCATTTAAAGTACCTTGTTTTATATATATAGTAGCTTACTAAATAATAAATTAAAGATTCATCATCTTCTTTTGCTATTCTTGAAAACCTCCAGTGATAAAAGAGATTTAACCCATTTGCTTTGCCCTTTAGTCTTCATTTACCTGTCAGGATGAATAGTAGAGAGCACAAAGACAAGGAGAATGACATCCAGGATCTCATCTGGAAAAGGATAGGGTAAAGCATCATCACACACATCATGAACAAAGGCAGAACACCAGGCTGAATTGTAGGACGAATGTGACTGTCAGGAAAAAGATGAAAAGAGGCACAGAGAGAACAGTAGTAGTTAATACGTTTACTGTGACTCAAGAAACTTTTTTTCTTCAATTATTCAGCATTGTAAAACATCTCATATAAAAGCCTATTCTGTCTGGTACCTTACTCAAGCTGAGAAGCAAGCTCACTGATGGTATTCATTCCTCTCTGCATAGAGTAAGACTTTGTTCTTTGGAATATTGAAAACTTCAGTTAAAAGTTGTCAAAGCCATCACATTCTTTTTCATGAAGACCGCTTCCTAGCAGCCTCCTGAATTACAGGCTTATACAGGCTTATAAGGTACTCTAAAGCGAGGGTATGAATTACCTTTACCAGCTCCACTGCTCCTGAAGCAAAATCACAACAGTATAGAAAGGTTCCAGGTGTATTGCTAGGAAAACAAAACCAACATCAGTTAAAAAATTGTTATTGTAAAAGATGAAAGCCCACATCAGTGTTCATCGAAGTACAGAGGGCCCTTTGGGGTTCTCCACAGGTTTGATCAAGCGTGCCTTATTGATGTCTAGCACATGGAAAGCCACATAGGTTGTAATGAACCAATAGGGCAGACAAATTCATAAGAATACCAACAGGCAGTTAGCATAAAAAGGAGAATTATAGCCTTGCCAGGGAGGAAGTGAAAAGGAAAAGAAAGAAGGTCACAGAGGGCTGTCAGGATTGATGACAATGTCCTGGTGTTATATTACATAAATGCACATTTAATAGGTCACATTTTCTTACAGAAGCACTGCATTAAGTCTCTGTCATTAGCCCATGTATGCACTTTAATTAGCAATATGATTTGGGCAGGGGTGGGTTGTTGCACAAGTCATCCACAGTTCTGTAGAGGTTTGAGTTCTCATGTGCCACCTTGCTGTGCTTTTGATTAGGTTAAGCAGTATTGGTTGTTTCCTTACATTATCCCCTTTGTTTTGCAAGTCAAGATGAATAAGAATTTCCTGTAGAACTGTTTTCCCTTCCTTTCCCTTCCAAGACGAAGCCAGCTGCAAATTTTCTCATACCATTCACCAGTAACTTTAAGGGAGACATCTTTTTCATCTCCGAAAAATTCATATAAGAGAAAGAGAGCAAGTCCCTCAAAACCTAATGAGGGATGACCTCATGGTCAACTCACGATCAATCAAACTCTCTTAAAAAATATTTGAGATTTTGGACAGACAGTTTCTTTAGAAAGGGAATCAATAAGTTTTGCCAGTACCTATAAGGTCTCACAGTATACTCAGCTGAGTTAGTGACTCCTCTTTAAGGGCTCAACAGGGGAGCCCTTGTGGACCAGAATATATTCCACCCTTGCTGCTGAGCAAAAACTTTTATCAGCTCTGTGCCCACCATGAGAATTGATGAGTTTAGATATTCATCATGGCTAAGGACAAGCAGCCAGCCTTTGGATCCAGCCAGTCCCTTGGGAAAGGTTAAGCTGATTACCTAATTGACTAGTTAGGATGCTATTTTAATTTTTTTAGAGCAGAATAGGAGCTGCGTAAAAAGTCAACTTAAAACAAATACACAGCTTGATCTGAATGGTGATTTCATCTGTATGAAGCAGTATATTAAAAAGCAGTAACTTAAATTTTAAGGGGGGCAGGAGTGGAATTTTTTTTTCTAGCTAGGGCACACTCATACTTAACACTGGCTTCTTTCAATATCCATACAAAAGGCAATTTTTGTATTATTCAGAGTAAAACCATCTGTGCTATAAAGCCAGACTTGCTAAAAGGAGAGAGATGTTTCCATCAGGTCATATACAAGACAAACATGTGAGTTGTTCAATGTACAAACCAATGTGATTGACTGAAGGATTTGCATAAGAATAGAGATCTCCAGGAAAAACACCTAATGAGTGGATTCCTCATTATCAGAAATGCCAACCTATGACTAATGCCTCCTGTGAGGAAAACACAAAAGTGTCTTATCTTTTTTAATACAGCCACATGCTATCTTTTCCCTATATAGTGTTACTTTCCAAACTTTTCATATGAAACAGGGCTCTTCTTCTTTTATGCTGTCTAGAGCAAAGCATTGGTTTGGGATGAAGATGCATTGCTAAAACTAGTAGGTTTCATGTACAACCCTGGTACATCACTCAATTCTTCCTAGTCTCCATTTCCATATTTGCAAAATGCAGTATTTTTGTACAGTGCTGATGCTGGCAATCAGAATTCATTTACAGAATAACAAACTCTACTGCACTCAAGCTCTTGTAGGCATGAATAAAAAGAAATCTATTTCAACATCACAGCCTTTCCAATAAAACCTTTCTGCCAACATGGAAGGGAGGACATCCTGTTGGGACAGCTTTTTCTAAGACCGGAGTCTAAGTGCATTAAGATGTTTCAGGGAATTAAGTAATGCAATACAGGACTTGTGCTTTCCTTGACACTAGAACCTGAAGCAATATGACAAAGTGTACTGGACAAATTCAGAAATAATACAACTTCTTACCAGTAGATTACATGCCATTGCCTACTGCCTTTGATTTTGGCCTTTTGAAAAGATACCTGGTAGCTTTACGAAGACATTTAAGGCAAGATAATATTTCACCTGCCTGAAACTAACTACAAAAAATCAGTCTGAATGCACTTGAAGGCAAACCTTGTCAGCAAATACAGTCCCCCCAAAACTAGGTTTGACCAGTATGAGGAGTATCTTGTACTGCTGGTACCATTATCTGTGGTCTGCAAAGCAATCACAATTTCAGGGCTGTAAAACAATCCACTCAACACTTCCTGCAGCACTGATCTAGTACCAGCATTTGAAGAAAATTAAGAAGATAAGAACTGGACTTTCATAGTTGAAAATCCAGGGCTACATACCATAGAACTTTCAAAATAGGAAAGACGCTGTTTCCAGCACCACAACCAACCTAAAATCAGAAAAGAAACAAAAAGTTTAAATAAATGAGCAAATAAAACCTTGTATTTTTTTAATTTTCCTTTTGAATGAGTTAGCAGGAACCATTAGACTTTAAGGTATAAAGAGCTCATACCACAATTCTCAAATCACTTCTATGATCACATTTCTCCCCGGTGTCTTTCTAAAGTTCAGAGAATCCATCTCTCAAACTGCATAGGAAAATGTAGTATTCTTGTCCAATTTCACCATTTGGAAAGAATGTGTCAAGTACTTGCACTAAAGACAGGGCACCTTCCTTATGAAATTAGAAACCTGACTTCAAGTGAAAAAGGAATCTGACAATCTAGTCCTAAATTGTGATTCAGGTGAAACCTTAAAGGGAAAACAAAGCACAGATCCTAGGCTTCTCTGAATGTTTCTGCCATAAATGAACATAGTATGTCAAATTCTATATGTTTACTTTCTTGATACTTACAAGTGTCTTTATCAGACTTTTGAGCAATTAAGTGGAGTTGTATATGCTGGGTAGAACATTTGCAGTGCATTACCTCTAATATTCTGTAAGTGGCATCACTACCAGGGAAGGATTCTAGCTTGCCAAGTTCTTCTCCAGAGTTTTTACCCCGAGCATTGTCAGTGAGAGGTTTCACTTGGGTTTTATTATATTCATATCCTTGTACAGCAGTGGAACCACCTCCACAGTTTTTCTTCCAATACTTTTCTCCTGCCTCAAACATTTCATTTTTGTGTGAAAAACTGTTGGTAGTATTTATTTCTGTGTGTTCCAAAGATCTTTGTTCTGTTTTCAACTCTTCTCTCCTTTTTTCTGGAAGAATTTCTGGAAATTCCAGGAATAGCCAATTGCGATCCTTGAAAAAGTTATTTTTATGAGTCTTGTAAAATTCATTCCAATATTTACTGGCTTCTCTCTCGTATCTCTCTGAAATTAGAAAAAAACCCAAAAACTTGGTGAATATGAGCAACATAGAATTTGGTCCTCAAATTTACAGTTTAAAAATCCATAGTTCCCCAGATTTAAATAAAAACATATGGATTTGGGGTCTTACCTTAGTCTGTGCTCAAAATAACTCCCATGAAGGTTTAATTCAATTTTATGTCATTTATGATGGGTCAGACAGGCTTTCTGCATCATTCTTGGGGCTTTTTTTTGTTTTGTGGCTTTGGGTTTCTTTTAAAATGTAGTGACATAATAGAACAGCATCAGCAAAATATGGGATCGTAAGTTTCTTAGACAAGCTTTCATGTCTCAAATTATAAAAGCAATGCATCTTTTCAATTAAGTGTTCTTCATATTTTCCCTATTTAAGAAATACTAAATTGAAATTAATTTCATGATTTATGAAACTCTATGAACAATTGCAAATTTCTTGGTAGCTAGTCACCTGAAAAAAAAAAATCAATTACAAATCTCGTTCTGTGAACTGGAGTGATAAATGCTACTGCATAGCCAATAGTCAGTAATTCACTCTTACCCATTTAACAATGCAGTTTTGACAAAAAATAACAATACAGCCAGAAGCAACATACTGGCTTTCTTACTTTCAAAACGCTTCAGAGTCTTACAATAGACCTCTATGTTAACTTTTAATTCACGAAACATTCTAGCTGAATGTTAGAATGCCAAAGAATAGGACTGGAAGGGATTTCACCCAGTGAGGGAATTCATATCCCTTCTCCTCAGAAATTTGGGTGACTTGTTCTTAAAATACCCCCTTTCACATAGGTTTGACAACTTTCTTCAGTAATATATTACAGTCCTTCACCACCTGTACCACTAGAAACCTTTTGCACTACCTAACCTGAAATTTCCTTATTGCAATTTAAGTCCAGTAATTCTTGTCCCATTAACCAAGGAGATAAAGCAAAGATTACTCTCTTCTCTTTGCAACACCTGTTTACTTATTTGAAGTCTTTTACTATGTTTCCCAGAAACAATTTTTCTAGATTGTCTAAACCTCTTCCTTCTTTTTTCCACACAAGTAATGATTTTTAGACTTCTGATAATTTTCATTTTTCTTCTCTAGATTCTCTCCAATTGACTTGCTACTTTTTGGTGCTGTATTCTGGTAAATGCACTATCAAACCAGAGCAAAAGGAATATTTTACCAGGCATACATGCTGTAATCTTGTTTATAACTCCCAGATTGCCATTTTGCAACAGCATGACACTGCTGATTCAGCTACTGATTCACCACAACCCTCAGATCTTCTTCTGCAAAATGACTACCTAGCCAATTGTTCCAGAACCTAGTATTTTTTTTCAAGGAATTATTCCTAAGCAAAGTATTCAGCTTTTATTTTTAGCAAATTTATATCTTTCAGATCCTTTTTTCCACTGTTTGTCCAGATCTTTCTGAATCATAATCCTGTCCTTCACCATACTTGAAACAACTCTTCATTTAGTATCATCTTCAAGTCTCCCATTTCCTGGGGTCACTAATGAAAATACCAAGCAGAACTGGACACGGAACAAAATGCTTCTCTGCCCAGCACAGCCTTCTATTCTGAAAGGATCTCTCTAGGCATTCATTCACCCAAAAGCAGCTTCATTAGCTCTCACTTGCCTAACTTGCTTATGAAAATGTCAAGTAAAGCAACTCAGAAGGATAAATTTCAGGACGTCTGCTGTTTTTTCCTTATCCCCAGGGTTTGTAACCTTCTCCAAGAAGGAAATTAGCTTGATGTTACACGATTTATTATTGAAAAATATTTGTTGGCTACCTGACTAAGGATAAATTTCAGGATGTCTGCTGTTTTTTCCTTATCCCCAGGGTTTGTAACCTTCTCCAAGAAGGAAATTAGCTTGATGTTACACGATTTATTATTGAAAAATATTTGTTGGCTAGTATTCATCTCCTTTGTTCTTCCAAACCCCTGGCCTGCAAGCTCTCGATTATCTCTTCCAGTATTTTTCCAGGAATTGAAACGAATTATTTTTCTCTTCTCTTTTTCCACCTCCCTTTGTAAAAAAGTAAATACTCTCTTTTCTGCTTTCCCAGTCATCCATGTACTCTACACTCATACTCTACTACATGTACTTTGTAACCTGTTCTTTCTCAGTACAAGAACAAAATCTTTCCTCCTTCTCACTAGCACTAATTGTGCTAGCTGCTGGACTACAGCTAACCCTTTCAAAGAAAGGCTGATAAAAAGATAAAAGAATTATCAGCTTTTTCAATGTCTCTTTTGTTGATGATTTTCCCTTCTTTATCATCCCTCCTAAGTACCAAACCAAACCTTTTTCTTGTTTGCTTTTCCCCTCACTCCCAAAGCATTTACAGAACTGTTTCTTGTTACCCTTGACATCTCTTGCTAAGTGTACATCATATAATATGTTGCCTTTTCTATTTTGTCCGTACTCACAGTGATCCATTAATTCTTTTAATATAAATGCAGAGTAAGTGTATGGTGCATTTTTCCTACTATTCTCATTTAAATCTTAAACTAGTTCCTAAATCACTACATCTTTTTAGAGATAAACAAGGCTGAGAAATATCATTAGAGGCACAGACAGGCAGTGGGAAGTGGCAAGGAGGTGGCAGAATGCCTTGTCCTAGAAATCTGCATAATTTTTAAATTTTTTTAAATTTAACTTTTAATACATCCAATTGTATTATTAAAGGGCAAGACCCAGCTATGCAGAGTATTTGTACAGACTTGTTTTATAATGTACATGCAGAGTTGACTGAGGTCATATATACCAGATTTCAATAGTGTAAGTTGCACATTCATAGACTGCTCAACTTCACTATAAAAAAGAAACCTTCTACTCAAAAGGTTCTTAAATCATTGTCACCCTTTGTTATAGACCAAGTCTGCTCAAAATGAAACAACTCTTCATTTAGTATCATCTTCAAGTCTCCCATTTCCTGGGGTCACTAATGAAAATACCAAGCAGAACTGGACACGGAACAAAATGCTTCTCTGCCCAGCACAGCCTTCTATTCTGAAAGGATCTCTCTAGGCATTCATTCACCCAAAAGCAGCTTCATTAGCTCTCACTTGCCTAACTTGCTTATGAAAATGTCAAGTAAAGCAACTCAGAAGCCTGACTAAGGATAAATTTCAGGATGTCTGCTGTTTTTTCCTTATCCCCAGGGTTTGTAACCTTCTCCAAGAAGGAAATTAGCTTGATGTTACACGATTTATTATTGAAAAATATTTGTTGGCTAGTATTCATCTCCTTTGTTCTTCCAAACCCCTGGCCTGCAAGCTCTCGATTATCTCTTCCAGTATTTTTCCAGGAATTGAAACGAATTATTTTTCTCTTCTCTTTTTCCACCTCCCTTTGTAAAAAAGTAAATACTCTCTTTTCTGCTTTCCCAGTCATCCATGTACTCTACACTCATACTCTACTACATGTACTTTGTAACCTGTTCTTTCTCAGTACAAGAACAAAATCTTTCCTCCTTCTCACTAGCACTAATTGTGCTAGCTGCTGGACTACAGCTAACCCTTTCAAAGAAAGGCTGATAAAAAGATAAAAGAATTATCAGCTTTTTCAATGTCTCTTTTGTTGATGATTTTCCCTTCTTTATCATCCCTCCTAAGTACCAAACCAAACCTTTTTCTTGTTTGCTTTTCCCCTCACTCCCAAAGCATTTACAGAACTGTTTCTTGTTACCCTTGACATCTCTTGCTAAGTGTACATCATATAATATGTTGCCTTTTCTATTTTGTCCGTACTCACAGTGATCCATTAATTCTTTTAATATAAATGCAGAGTAAGTGTATGGTGCATTTTTCCTACTATTCTCATTTAAATCTTAAACTAGTTCCTAAATCACTACATCTTTTTAGAGATAAACAAGGCTGAGAAATATCATTAGAGGCACAGACAGGCAGTGGGAAGTGGCAAGGAGGTGGCAGAATGCCTTGTCCTAGAAATCTGCATAATTTTTAAATTTTTTTAAATTTAACTTTTAATACATCCAATTGTATTATTAAAGGGCAAGACCCAGCTATGCAGAGTATTTGTACAGACTTGTTTTATAATGTACATGCAGAGTTGACTGAGGTCATATATACCAGATTTCAATAGTGTAAGTTGCACATTCATAGACTGCTCAACTTCACTATAAAAAAGAAACCTTCTACTCAAAAGGTTCTTAAATCATTGTCACCCTTTGTTATAGACCAAGTCTGCTCAAAACCCTTGTACTTATATTCCCACCAAGTTTTCTAGATTTCAGAACTAAGGGAAAGCAATGGCTAAAGCCCAGCTTTCAAATCGAATTAGTATGGTAATGTAGTACGGTAATATAGTAAGGTTTGAGTCAAAGAACACTTTACTTTCCATTCTTTCACTGGTGACTCCTTTGATTTTTCCAGGAGTTATAACCACTCTGTAATAACCACACATGCATTACTATAAATTTTTTGTTTCACTTTGTATATTTAAGTAGCCTGACTACTAAATCTTCCAAAGCATGTAAAAATGACAAAACTAATAAACATATAACCTTTTGAGACAAAAAAATCCCTTACATAGCCAGATGATTTTTCTCCCTTTAACAGAATCTTTCATACACTAGCAGGCATGCCTAGGAAGAAACTGGACATGCTAATAAGTAAATCAAATTCCTAAAGGTAGTATCATTAGTTCATTCAGTTTAACTTCTCTTGTTTTAACAAGGCTCACCAGAACTATTCCATTATAGTGATATAACAGTATTGTTGAAATCTGTCTTGTCTTTTTCCCCTTAGTGTAGTTTCCAAGGCCCCAAAATAACCTGCTCTTTAGCTTCAGTCTAGTTCATTGTTTACACAAATAGGCCAAAATGTACTTCCACTTGCAAAATGAAGCTGAAGCTTTCTGAAGGAACACTATCAGCAATGCTCACCTATTCAAGTTCTGAACAGAGGGGCGTTCATAGGAAATGCCCTTGGATTCTTGTATTTCTTGGCCATAGACAAATGCTTGATTATTCCATTTATCACCAGCACAAATTAAGTTCTAATTGATCGTAGATGAAGAATGAAAGGTTCCATGAGACACATGGTTACACAGCTTACTTTCAATTATGAGCTCTTTCTCAGCTTTGTATACAAACCAAATGAAATATGTCATTTTTGGAAAACAAACATGGTATTCCTGTATTTAGATAAAGAATGCAAGAGGTAACAGAAAAGGGCAGGATGACAATCCCAGATCATTCAAAGTGATGAAGGGCACACAATCCAAGACATGTTCACAGGCAATTCAGGTAACTCTAACACATGTTACATTAATGAAACTGAGCACAGCATCATAATGACACTATCTAATTTGACAGGTTCAAGACACACTAAGTAAACTGAGGTCCAGGACATCCAAGCAATTGCTTTCGGAACAAATTAAGAATGCAGTCTTCTATGGTACTATCAAGTTGATACTCCAGCTTTGGCATGCACCCTAGAGTTTAGTCTAGGATTTAATTTACCAGTTTGAACCTAGAGCTATCATTCTTCAGAAACGCTGGATACATTAAGGTTCCCTTCTGAAAACAGGCATGAAATTCCTTAATCATTTACAGAGTAGACTCTGCATGATGTACTGGAACACTTTCCACACAAAGTGAACACGCTGCTTCCTGAAGCACTCCCAGCTCAGCCTAGTCAAGGCAGCAAGCTCAGACCAGCTGGGACCAGTGCAACTTTCACAGCACTTAACTGAAATATGGTGCAATGTACAAACACTAGCTCTTTAAACAGTCCACAAATCATCAAAAAGCATTTGAATATTGTACATGGGAAAACTGTCATCCTCAGCACCCTAGCTGGCTGCAAATTCATTCCCTTTGATGAAGTAACAGTCCTGTGTAGTAGTTTTATTACGAACTGCAAAAGGAGCCAGAACTTGCAACTGTCTCATACTCACATACTTGTCTTACATAGAGCCTGTTAACCCCCCAAAATGCAAAATTGCTCAAATACGTAACTGAATTGCTAGAAAAACACACTTTGAGATAATCATGTGAGGCAACGAAGGAAAAAAACCCAACAAATTTAGACAACAGAATGTAGAAATAAAAAGAGTGATCCTAGATTTTAAAGCATCTTTAAATGCTTTAATAAATAGTATTAAAATAGGAAATTTTAAGCCATTATGATTTTGTTACCTTGGTCTTCCCTTTGGACTTTCACACGTGAGTTCTCTGCTGCTCTTTCCTTGGCATTCTCCTCTTCTTCCTGTGACCACTGCATGTGGTCCCTGCAAAAAGCAGTTGAAGAACCAGTCTTTAAATAGGTTTTTACATAATCTTTTTTTTTTCCCAGGGTAAAGAGTCACAAATTAGCTACACTGTCTCAAATACTTTTTCATTTTGAATGCAACCAAATGACCACAAGGGGACTGACAGTTAAAAACTAAGTTTCAGCATATGATAGATAAAAATTAGTTACTGGTTAGGTAAAATTCAAGTCATTATGAAAAAATCTTTCAATTACAAAGAGGATGAAATAGTATGCATTTTTTTCTTAATAGTAAGATTAACATATATCTTTTAAATTGAGTGCATTTATAGGAATGTATTTTGAGTGTTGCATCAGAATTGTGTTTAGCTGGTTATAACAATAGGCCTGCCAACAAACACCCTGATGCAAGAAACTTCTCACATTACTAATGTTTATGATAAAGAACAAAGGTCATTTAGCAAAGGAATCAGCTGTTCCTGAAACAGGGAGCATAATCCACCTATTCAAGTGGAACAAGTGGAATTGATTAACAGGATCTTACTTACTTGGGGAACAGAGATAGGAAACATTTAGAAAAAAAGAACGAGACATTCCTAAGAAAAGACAAACAGTACTGCAATGGTTACAGAGTTTCTGCTATCTGTCTTTGTGTAAAGAGGTTCACTAAATGTTATATTAATCCGTTAAATGGTCACAGAAAAAAGCCAAGACCTGACCCTGATGACTAAACTGCCTTCCCTGCAGATTCTGTGTTTGGATCAGGCCACAATGGGGAGTGCCCAAAAACGTGCTGATCGCAGCTTTTAAAAGCAAATCAGCTGTCTCTCCAAACTGTTCAGTCTGAACAGTTTTAGAAATCAGATTAAATTAGATAATATAATTCAAGTAATCTATTAGATCCTAATCCTACTGAAATCAATTACCTGAAAGTCTATGACTAAAATTCCATTGGTTACTATGGGAAAAGGAACAAGGTGCCAACTTGAAAAGAGTTGATTGTCTCTTAAAGCTAACGAGCATCTTCCTGTTCCATGCTTGGTGACATATAGGTAATTTAATTCTTAGACCTTCACTGTTCCTCTTTTGTTAATTGTGGGAGACTAATTGGTATGTATTTGTCTGCTTGCCTCAGACTTGATTTCCGCATCTCTACTGAAATATTTCTCATTATTGTCCTCAGCAGGTTGCCTCTCCCCTTCCTGTATTTGTTCATATACCAAATGTTCCTGTGCAGTGTCAAGGCTCTGACAGACGTGCCCTGGTAGAATAAAACTGAATGACCAAAGAATTACTAGGCAGCCATCCTCTTGGAAAGACTTGCTTCCCTCACTGCTGTCACCACTTTTGACCTTGCCTATTCTAGCAAGCTGAAAACCAGGAGTATTCAGATGGCAATAACATACAGTCAGCAATTCTGACAGACGACTTGCTGGAGTATAGCTTTAGCTGATCAATTTTAATCCATCATCGTGTAGACCTCTTAAGGGCTCTACACGCAATACTATAGGTTCCTGAAGTCGTGCATCTTCATCAACAACTTTTTTGCTTTTTGTCTCTCCTTGGAAATTCATAAAGCTGAAGTAAGATCTTTTGGCTCTTTCCTAGAAATCTCTATGTGGAAGACCCCAAACAAAAAGGCTGCAGCAGCACTTCCTCACCAAAATCTGCAAAAGAGGAGACATAACATAGTTCTTCTGCAAACTATTTACATAGTTGGGATGCTTCAAATGAGGTGGCTCCTTCAGCAATACCAGCTGGCAGGAACACAGAATACAGAAGAATTCTAAGCACAGAAGTATTTAAATATGGAAGTGTTTTAAGCTTAATGCTGGCATCAGCAAAGCAAGCTATCCATTTTAACCACACCAGGACCTGTTAACATGAGTGGGCCTGATACGAGATCAAGCAATGCTACTTTCAGTTCAGCTTATTCAACTTAGGCCTTTTCCATTAACTTGTTTGCTAACATAGGGTTAAATTATCTCTGAAAACTAACATGTAAAAACTATGCCAATTACTAACCCGAATAGAAGCAGACATTTTTTGCTCCAATGTTTAGCATTATTTATTACTTCTCTCTCAAAATGCCAGAAAAGCACCACAGCAAATGTCTAAAGCATTAATTCCCAAACTTAATTCACTTAGTATTCCTAGCAGCAATGGTAGCGGCTCTTGGCTCCCTGCCAATTCACACACAGGCAAAAAGAAGGATGCCACTTTATGAAGTACCAAAGATGATGACTGGAAAAAAAAAGGACATAACTCCTCAAATATCAATGCTAGGGAAGATGTATCTCTTATGCTCACCCTGCATGATCTGTTTAGCCCTGACAGTACTCATCCTGATCCCCCTTTTCTCCCTACTGATAACTCAACTGGTTCAGATAGCTTCAGATTCAAGGACCTCCCCCCACTTCATGGCCAGGTGCTTGATTTATCAAGACCTTTGCAACTTCCCTGCAGCCTCTGCCCCAACTCAGTTTCACCTGTTTCCCCTTGTGAGCTATGTGGATTCATCTTCAAATCCACTTTCTGAACCACCCTCTTCCTTTCAATCCCATCTTCACAATCCATCCCAAACACCTGCATCACAGTTTGATAACTCTGTATTAGACTGTCACCAAATGCTAGCAAGAAAAATGGAAGCTACACATTATCAGTTATTTGGAAGAAAATTTAAAAAATGAAACAAAACTGAGTTTCATCGAGGTACACTATCCTAGAAAAAGGGCAGCATTTTTCTTAAAATCTTTTCCTACTTAGACTATATAGCCTACATTTGAATCAGTAAAGGATTTTTCCACCAAGCAGGAGGTCCTGAGTCTGGAAGATGTTTAGAAATACACCACATATAGATTTATTAAACATGGAGATAAATTTTACACTCTTTTAAGACAATAACCAGCCAGCTTCCAGCTTCCTTCACCACGGTATAGGTAACTCCGGATTTGGCCTTAAGGTGGTATGTGTTGGGGACCATGGCTTGGGGACATCTAGTTTAGAAAACAGTAATAGGCGACAGATGTATTTGCATATCTTACCTCATGAGTTAAGCCCAAATTTAGAGACTAAAAAGGGTAATGAAGATATTAGTTTATTAACTAGAAGACAATCTTCTGTGTTATATTCTTAAGATCTTTTTACTCATCAGAATTTTATTAGAGAAACTTTTGAAATAATTTAGATCAAAAAGTTAAATGGACCAATTAACAAATAAAAAGGACTACTAAAAAGAATAATAACTTAAAAAAAACCCAGTAGGTTGGAAACTTCATTTAAGAACAAAAGCTTGCACTTCTGACAATTGCCCGCAGGGAACACCTCTGAAGAGGGTGTAAAAACTGCAGATAACTTCAGGCTTAAGCCCTGAAATTTGTCATCTGTTTCTTTTACGTTATGTTACCCATTGGTTACCATTAGCCACATCCCGTTGCTTTTCTAATTTTTCTAAATCCTTGCTCTCAAAACTCTTACTCTTGTTAACATTTACATGTTAATGTTTTCTCTGCTATTATATCACTTATTTATGTTAAGATTGAATTTTCCTCTTTTTGGCAATTGTGCACTGTATGGAAATCTCTGCTGTAACATCTTCAGTACATCTTTAGAAGAATACAAGTAATTTACATGTTCCTTTTGGAATGGTGACAATTTTAGAATACAGTGCTAATCCAGTATGCAACATTATTTTACCTAACTAGTAACTTTCTGCCATTATAACATGGACTATTTATCCTCTGCACTTTCTGTCTCCTAAATCATTATTGATCTATAACAATATTTTGCCTTTCATTCCATGACTAGCTACTTGCTCAGCAGCTTTTTATGCAAGTCACTGAGAACTTGCAATGGTCAGGTTGCTCGTGACAGTCTCGAGTTCTCTCCAGCACTACCTGTCAACATCTATGCTGGCAGTCCATTGTTATATACACCACTATGCTCCCCATTATTCACCATAGTAATTAATATACAAAAATCCATTAAAATCAGCCTTGAAGAAACATCTCACCACATGTTATGTTCAAAAACCTTAGAGGGATCAGTTAAAATCCGTGATCCAAGTGGAACAGCTGGTCGTCTACTACTTTGGTGCCTCTCATGCATCTTGCTTTTCCTCAGACATAAAGCAGAAAGCCTTGTAATGAAATTCATTTTGTTCAGAGACCTGAAAACACAATTAACTCAAATTACAGTTTTGCCGTAACTCAGTTATTTATGTCACTTACATGAGAAACTGGTCAAATAATCAAGCACCAATATCAACTTTAGTAATAATCTGTTACTATCATATCAATTGAAATGCTTTTTAGAAAATAACAACATCCCTTCAGTGTGTTGAAAGCCCAAATAATCCCAAAGTAGGCTACTGGAATGAAACAAAATGAAAGACAAATTATTTGGTTTCATTTCAAAGTCCTATCAGGTGGGGGGCAGGGGGAAAGAAATACAGAGTAAGACAATAAACCAAATTTGACATACCTTTAAGAAGACAAGCAAGAAGTGATCAGTAAAGAAACCACTTGTTCTAGTGGGTACGTACTGTCATTGAGACTGACATTTTTCACCCCACTCACTAGTTAACCGTCTTCAAAAAAATTTCATTCTAGAACTGTCACTGTGGTTTTATACTTTTAGATAGGAAATGAGAGATCTTATTTTTGTTTAAGTGTAAACATTATGCACCAGAAAGCCTTCCAAAATCTCTGCCATATATTCTCCTGATCCCTGCTTAATGCCCTCTTTGAAATGAATGGTTTTAAATGTTAAACTGCTGTTAATGTAAATTATAAAGTGCTTGAGTTTTTTCTATTACATGTATAATTCTCTCTTATATTGCTATATTTTACTTTACTTGGAATCTCTTCATACAGTATTAATAATGAAACATAACAAGTGTATGTAGCTAGTACCAGCATTTTGTCTTGTTGGGTTTGGGGCTTTTTTTCCATCTTCTTGTTAATGCAGGCTTTCTAGGAGATGAGTAAAATGAAATACCCCTCCTACTACTTTTACCCTGATGTGTCTTTGTTCTTTTTTCCTTCAAGTGCTCTGCATATGACTTTAAAAACTATTCTTAGTCCTATTTTTTTCCTGTCTTTTTTTTTTTTTTTGAGAGCTGCTTCTGTATAAATCACACATACAAATTTAATGCACTGGAAATACAAAATGTAGTTACAAAAGAACAGGCACAGTTTAAATACAGACATCATTAGAAAACATTCTGTGCAAAATGGTTACAAAATGAAGATTTTTATCTTGAGGAAAATAGTACTATTTGATCACAAGTCTTGTACCGTGAATAAAAAAAGATTAATTTGTACACATCAATACAAAGCCTGGCAAAGGAATCACTTCAATTAAAAGAACAATCCCTCATTTAAGGTGTACTTTTGAATGAGTCATACTTTAAAAAGGGCATTGTTTATTCAGTTTAAGCCTACACAAAAAAAAAAAAAAAGGAGAAAAGTTTAAAATTTCTTTTTATTTGTCAAAGATTAAATAAAATGGGGTTTGCCTCTTGGCTGTCAATGCCAAATAAAAGCACTGATAAATTTTGGCTGCTGGGACTGCAGTGTTACTACGACGTGGGGCACCACCATAAAGTGAAAAGGTAACAAAAAATTAAAACTTCTTCTAATGATCACGAGTTTATTACAGATTTTTTTTTTAAACTGTGGCTCCGCAACTAAAACAATTTCAGTTTACACGTTAATTACTACAAACTGGTCATGCCTTGGTTTTGGAAATATGTATGCATTTTTCATAACACAATGCATAATTTTTAACATATATGGAATATTATGAAATACTAATTGTGAGACACAAAAATTAACACACCGTGAGAATTTCTGCAAAATGTGTAAATTACATAAAGGCAATACTCTTGAAAACAAAAACAAATAAAAAATCCCTCAAAACCCCAAACCCCGGTCTGATCTAAAATATTAATAATAATTATTATTATTACTACTACTATTATTATTAAATTACAGAACTGCCTGGATAAAGATTCCATGATTACATTGCAAACTGTTTACAAGTCCTCTTCCTCCTTCAATCATTCAAAAAGACCTGAGATAGTATCTTGCATTTCCTGTGCCAGCATTGATATTCAACATAAAATACAATGATTCAGCTGCTAGGCTAGTCACATATTTTTTCTTGGTTTTCTAAATATCTCAGTAAGAATATGAAAAGATGCACAGATGGGAATTATAGTCAGATGACTAAGATGATCTTGCCTCAGTAAAATCCAGAGATGCAGCTCTTTTTATGAGAATGTGATCCTTTGAGCGATAATTGCACAATTTCAGCTGATAAATTTTGAAACATCAAGAAAATGCAAGGAGAGTGGGGTAGGTTGGGGATTTAAGTTTACTGTTGCATCCAGTGTTAAATGTGCAGCAATTCCTTGGAGACGTGCATGTATATCCCTGAGAGCTCCATAGATCATGAGATTAATGGGCAATCTGGCAACTAAAAGTTCAAAAAGCATCTAAATGACTTGGAAGCCTAAATTACATTTTCAGAAGCCAGTCAGTGCTCAATTGTTTCTCTAATTGGTTTTGTTAATGAAACAGGCAAACAATCTTTCTCTTTGTCAGATAAGATATAAATATATATATACACCCTGAAGCCAGGACAGCAAGAAGTATCTGAAAGAATTAGGAGTTGAGAGCCACGGTCAGGAAGGCTTTAAGTTTGATTATTAATTAAAGCAATTCAATCTTCATCTTTAAGGATAATATAATGAATTTCTTTAAAAATGCCTATATTTTGAGGCAGCACAACTATTTTTCAGAAAAAAAACTTTAAAGAAACAATGTACTTGGTAACCACACTGAAAAGCAATATGGAAGACTCTCCCAACAGAGCACTACCTTGTAGCCTTTAGAATTTAGTCATTGTTACAAATACGGATCAGGTCCTCAGTTTAGTTGAGAAACTTTAAGAAAACAGCATTAATATTTCTCCCTCCCCAAACAATCTAACACAGTATCTTTAGTACAGCTTTCAGGAGGTGGACACACAGAAGGTACACATATCAAGTGCCAGCTAGACCTGAAATAATACATTTCTAATTGATGTTGGCATTAAAACCTCTGAGCAGTCACATCCACAGAGGAAAAACTAAAGATATAGGAAAAAGAACTGTTCTAATCTCGTTTTTTACATAGGGAATTACACACCAAAACATATGCAATCCACTTCACTGATGAGTAAAATCCTTGAGAAGTACCAGTCCCACAACAGAGCTGAAATAACCTGTCGTTTTTGTCTGAGAACCTAGTTCATTGAACTTACTTGATGAAAACAGTTTGACATTTAACTGACCTCCAACTCTAAAGCTAACAACTTCTTCCATCTCCAATCACTAAGCCTACTTGTAGAGTCTCTGTTATAAAGAAATAAAATAATAGGAAGGAAAAAAAAAAAAGGAAGAGTATGCACATCTCATTTTACATTTCTAGACAGAAGAGTACCCTGGAAACAATGACCTCCATACAATTACTTCTACTTGTCACCTGGGGGCTTATGTATACATTCGACAATTAATCCCCAATGCTCTCCTGTAAAGCGTAGCTGACCTGTTTTATCATCCTCAAATGCTATCAAAACTCAGAACACCTTATACAAACAGATGCAAATGGCAATCATAGACACAAAGTGAAAAATTCTTCAAGATAATGGTAACACAGGAAGTATAACTATGAATTACTGGCAGTTATTTTTAAAATACATAAGTATTAATATTTATAAATATTTCAAATCGGGGAGGTAAGGAAGGGGCTTTACTCTCAACCAGACTCATTCATTAAGTGAATGTTTAATGCTATTATTTTCTACCAAGTGACTAAACATGCCCTCTTGGGGCTTCATAATTAGTCTTTTATTATATATTTCAAAAGAATTGTGCACATTTGAAAGAACAGAATATTTCACAACTTTTCAGACTCAGCAGATCTAAAACTCTCAACTGTTTTTTTTTTTTCTCATGTATCATCATCACCAGGAATGATGCAGACCTCCCTTTGGGCACACAGAAGCTTCAGTAAAACCACTGCAGAGCACTGACTTATCAAGGGGAAAAATAAATAAAAACAAGAAAATTATTTTTATTTATTCTGACTCCTGTAGAGACAAAGCAGTTAAGACTGGTTAAAAAGCAACAGGAGACAGAAACAAACAAACCCCACCAGATATGATTTTAAACACAGGTACAGAAATGTTGAGTAAGAAGAGCCTGTTCTTACACCACCCTCTAGGTAGCCTGTTAAAAAAGAGTTGAGCAAAGAGGAAATGGTTTATACAATGGTAGAGGGAGGGAGAGAGAGAAGGATGGAGATAAAACTACTCATTTACGGAAAACATTTACTTGAATCACCATACATTCAGGAGATAAGCAACAGAACTTGAAGGTACGTTATTTGGGATAAAATAATGTATGTAGGTACTATATAATAACTTCTAAAAGTAAGAAAGCAGACAAACAACTATTAGGGGCAAGCAGAGACCTAAAAATCCTTGAGAGTTAAAAAAAAAAATTATTATTTAATTTCCTAACTTTTTGTTTCTCAGCCACTGTTCTCCATCTTGATACTCCTGTTGGAATTATTCTGCTATATAAGTAATTTTTGCAGTATCTTATAAAACTACAGATTTTATAATTTTATTTTTATTCTTTTATTTTTAAGAAGCTTCCATACCATTCCTGGAAAACAGGGAAAGCATTCTTCAATTGAGACTATGAACGGCAACATTAATTCTTGTTGGCGTATGCATCTATTGATCTCAGAAGACAATGGAAGCAAAGCTTTCTCCTCAGTACTGAAGGAATCAACTATACTAGTTAATACGTTTTTAAGCTAATGAAGACAGTTTGAAGAATGCAACTAAAAATAAAACATTTTCATTGTTAATTGTTCTACTGTTCCATGTTTGTAACAATTACTAAAGGCACACTCAGAAATAGTGTAATTATAAATATTATTGACTAAAATAATTTGGATAATAGAAATGAAGAAGATACCAGTCAGTACAAATTTCTTAAATACTGCATAACGTAAAGAGGCAAATTCAAAAATCATTCTTTAGGCTACAATCCTGTAAATATCTGTACAGTTGTTTAACTTTACAGAAAAGTTGTCTTTACACATATCAATGAGTGTTTGTAGGATATGGGATTTAAATATGTAAGCATTCTGTGCAATCCTCTACTTTTTTCCTCTTTTTCACTTTTTCCATGAGGTAATTCACGTATTTTCCTGTTATTTATACAGCATAATACAACACAAAACTGAATTACCAAATTAATCTATTCACAAGTTTAACATTAAGAGGAAGCCATCAATGGTAAACATAGTTGGGAAGTAAGGCTTCCTAGTTAACCTGTGCACCCTCTGCTGGCCGTGGCTTACATAGGAAGAAGGGGAAAAAAAGCAAAAAAAAAAAAAGCTGTGTTGACTTTATGTATACATATATGAACATATATCTAAGTCTATCTTAGATATCTATCTTAGAACATCATCTAAGTATATCTTTCAATCACTTAAATTGCTTTTCAACCCTATTTTCTGCAAAATACTGAAGATGTAACCGTATTGCCTAACAAAAGGTGATTTGTCTCAAACTGTGGTTTTCTTTTATTAAAGATGCTGAGAACAAAGATAGAACAACATGAATTTTACTGCTGTCTATAATTTACATTGAAGAGCCTCGTTTATTTATACCCCTGCAAGACTCTGGATGTCCACGTGGACTTTGCTTAGGTGGAACCTGCCCTGTCAGCTCCAAGACCCTAGATCCACCGGCCAGGACCCAGAGCACAAGCCTGCTCTTCGGAGGCGCCACTGCAACCACCCCGTTTGTGTGTTCAGCTCACTTCATCCATAACTGCAAAGCACTAGAAAAATCACAGGAATCTGTCTTTTGTTACGCTATCAGCGAAGATCAAAGGTTTTACTCAGAGATGCTAAAGAGCAGACGGGGAAACAAATGGTCATCAACTTCCACATTACCCCATTTGGGTGCCTGGCCTCTGGCAAGGAAGGGAAACGAGTTTTTTCACGGGCTTCAGTCGCTCTGCTGGCAAGTAGCTGTTGACGGCAGCGACTGCTTTTGGGACGTAGCTCTAAAAATATAAAAACGAAGTGTCACACATCTCAAGAAGTTGCCGTTGACCCTGGAGTTGTTTTAAACAAACCCTTTAAAACCCGCCACCCCCCGAGCCCTGGCAGCCTCCATCCCCCACAGCGGCACCGCGCACCCTCCCCGGTGGTGGCTGGGGGCCACTCGCAGGTGCCCGCCCGCGAGGAACCCCCCGCTCTCCGCCGTGAAGAGAAAGGAGATGGAAGTTCCCACTTTCCCTTATCGCTAACAAAACTTCCCTGCTTTTATTTTTTAAAAAATAACGACTAAAATGCTTCCATTTACACGCCGAAGCGCACTGCGTTTACTTCAGTCCCTTCGGGCAGCGGAGCCCGGCCTGAGGCAGGGGTTCCCGCTGCGTGGGCGGCTCGGCCGGGCACCGGTAGGCAACCACCGCCGGCGGCTCTCACCGACCTCTGCGCAGCGACCGACCCTCCTCCTGCCCCGCGGTCCTCCCTGCGGCGTTCCACCACACGACGGGAGAGCCGCCCTGCTCCCCGCCGCCCGCCTCAGCGCGGCCCGCCCCCGGCGCCTGAGGGAGAGGGCGGGCTGCCGCGGGGCATGACGGGAGGTGTAGTCCGGGCCCGCCGCGGCGTTCCGCCCGCGAAAACTACAGTCCCCGGCGGGCAGCGGGGGGAGGCGGTGGCGGGGTCGTTGTCGCCTGGCGTTTCGTGGTAGCTGGGCTCTGTGGCGGCGGGGGAGACGCGGTGCGCACCTGGCCGGGCGGGTGCGCTCAGTTTCGGCCCCGGCCCCGCACTGGAGCCTTATCGGAAGGTGCCAGTTTGCGGCTCCCGGGAGTCCGGGCCCGGCTCGGGCCTTTTCCCGCTTCGCTTCCCGCCGGGCAGGGTAGGGGCTGAGAGAAACCCGGTGCGGGCCCGGGTCCTGCGAGGCTGCTCGCCCTGCCCAGAGCGATCCAGCAGCAGGGGAGAAAGGCCAGCCTGCCCCCAGGCCCGGGAATGTGCCCGCAGGCAGCCGCCGGCGGCGGGAGGAGGAGGGCCGCCTCCCGGGCGGCCGGGGCTCACAGCGTCTGCCGCCTCCTCAGCCGCAGGGCCCACGGCTTCTATGCCAGAGATGCGGGTGTCGCCCACAGAAAAAACCTGGGACTCCTCAGAAAGATAATGTGTCAGGTAATAGCGATGCTTTCCGGCGCTGGCCCATCCCCTGGGTGTCTGGGCTCTCGGCCGGGGTGGTCTGAGCGTCCCTCCGCAAGCCGGGGGCTGGAGAAGTCCCTGGGTCCCGCCGGCTCACAGCTTTGGGGAGAAAAAGGCTGCCGTTCTGCCGAAGAGAGTTCGAAATAGTGAGATTCATTTAATGAGGCCCAAACCTAGAAATGTAGAGAGGATGATGCTTTGGAAAAACCGCCGAAGCACTTGCAAATCTCACAATCATGTTAAAAGTAGTCTTTTATGAGATTTTATATCGCTTATTCCTTCCCTTAAGGTGGCTTAATATTTAATACCAATATTAATTTCCTGGTGTTTTCGGGAGAATCGGTGTTAAATTTGAATTAGATTCTCACAACAAAGCAAAATCAGTAGAGGTCTTCAGGTAAACATACCCCTAATGTGTCAGTGAAATTTATGTTACAGAAAAAATAGGAATTAAACCAGTTACAGACTAAAGTGAACTTGATTATTGTATCAAAACAATTATTGCTCCCATGCAGTAGTTGATAGAAATGCATTGAAAGTGAATATGTGGAAGTTAATTAGTAATTGTGTTATATGGACCATATATTTATTTGAAGTCAGCTAAAGTGTCTACTGGAACAATGGGCATGCAAGGTTTATTGAAATAAAAATGAGTACATCTGACTTACAGAAATACTTATTTTTTTTGTAAGACTGGATTCTTCATTAATGGTATACAGCTCCTGATGTCTCTAATACACAAAAGAAACTTTATGTGTGCAGTTTATCCCATTAACTTTTCAGGCACCTTTTGCAAATAACTGTAAACGTGTTTTTCTACCTTTCACACAAAGCACCAACAGCAGAATTGAGTCAGGTATTCAGTAAATATAATTAATTACATATAAAAGAGTTATGTGCAGTTATGTGCATATTTACACTCTGGCGAGTTTTGTCCTTTATTTTAAAAGTTGCTAGTAAAGTTTAGTTGCCGGGTTTAATTTTAATGCAGGCAAGTTAATTACAAAATATTCACTACCCATGCTGCTCATAATAGCTAATAAAAAGATCTTTTGTTTTTTAAAAAAGATAAAATTTCCCTTAAGATGTCTTTTAATTTGTGGGTTGTTTTTTGTTTGGTTTTTTTTTACATTTCTTTATCTATTGAACAGCAAAGGTTCAATTAAAGTAAGTTATTAGCTGCAGGAGCCAAATAAAATATTTTCTAAAAGCAAGGTTTGTTACAAAAGCCATCACTGTTACAACCACTGTCTGTTTCAGGAAAGTACTAAATTCAAGAACGTTTGGACAACTCATTCTGCATCTCCTATTGCATATGAAAGAGGAAGAATTTACTTAGACAATTACCAGTGCTGTATTAGCAGGTAATACATTTACAATTAAAAGTTATGCTGGCTTCCAGTTTTAACACTGTTACTCAGTTACTACTCTAAAACTACTTTACTGATCAGTAAAGTGTTACTACTTTACTCATCCAAATAGCCCCTGTGAATTACTTGGAATTTACTTAGGAACAAAAAATGACCAGCTACATAAATCTTTGTTAAATTACACTCAGATGCTGTTGTGTCTTAATGTGTCACCTGCTTTGGTGGAGGAAAGTCTAATTTTAGTGATGCTGTAAGCTTTCAGAGCACTCTAACAGGAGTGGAAGATTATCAGCATTTTATAATTTTGCACTAAAAAGCCAAATGAACAGTTCTTCTTTGTGATCTGGTAACTGGCAGTGTGCTAAAAAGCGTGTCACAAAATCAGCCTATGTAACAAGCTTGGTACTGTGTCTATAAATTCTATGTTAAAGGAGTAAATTATTGTTCATGTAAAAGTACAGTGTGCAGAGTACCTGCTGGCTTTTGTTGATGTATTTTGGAGATCAGTTCTCTGATCTGATGTACTCTCCTATTCCATGATCAGCTGCAGAGGCACAGCTTAGGAGGCAGCACAGGGCAGGGTAGAGGCTGGGAAGTCCTTCTCCTACACCAGCCCTTGTCCTTTGTCCTTGCCCATCCCTCTTGTGAGGGAGGTAGCAGGGGCTTGGAGAACTGCTTTACTAAGTAAGTTGTGGTCAGAACAGTTTTGAGACAGTGTCATATGATACATAAAAGACAAATTGCTCTGTCAGTGTAAACCACTGAGAGTTAATTAAATTTATCTATCATGTAGAGCAGAGGTCTAAATCTACTTACTGGTGGTTTATTCCTAGATTGTCTGAATGCTTTCCAGTACTGGGTTAACCCGTCCAACATCTTTCAGGTTTATCTTTGTCTCATCCTCTCCCTGAGGCAAAAACTGTGCACACTGCTAAGTTTTTATTCTAGGATGTTTTTTCTAAATGTCTGTACATGATGCTAGTCCTTTGTATTATTGAAAGGCAACACTGGAAGAGCTTGAGGAGAAGGTTAATTTCTGGAATACACTTTCTTTATAATGTATGTCACTAAAGTAAGAATGTTACTATTAAGTTTGTTATTTCAAAACAAAGCAAAGAAATCACCAAATCGGAAATTACAGAGGTTAGCTTTTAAATATTATGTTATGCTAACTATTGTTTATTGGGTCTTACTTTGAAAGCAATTTCCATTTATATTTACAAAGTAAAAATAAGATGTTTATATTTCTGACCTGCCTAAAAAGATGGAGGATTTATAAAATTGTATGAAATGACTTGTTGGTAGAAAGTAATTCATAAAGTAGACTAATGATTAGCAATCATTTTTCTTCAGCATTGCACGAGAGCCAAGAATACTTTATCAAAAGCCAAAGTGTTCTAAGTCAGAAAAAATAGAAGATGCTTTATTATTGGAATGCCCACTGGTAAGATTACCTTTTAATAGAGCATTGTTGTGCAAAAAAAATCATATCTTTCAGTGAAACATATTTAGAATAGAGTGTTCTTTCCTTGGGAATTATTTTCTCATTGTTTTCATGGAGTTAGGTCACTTAAATTTGCAACGTGCTTATTTATTTTGACTAAATGTTTAGAGGTATACTTTTATGATTGTAAAAGCAGTGCCTTTATGTTTATACAACTAGCTGTAATTCCTTACAGCATAAATTATCTTTAATATTTTTCTTTATTTTTTAATTAGCAAGGGCAGTAGGTGGGAATTTTAGTTTTTACTGGATCTGTTGACATAAAAAAAAAAGCAGATAAACTGAAGAACCATTAAAGCAACTCTGCCCAAAAGCTATTCTGCTATTACTAGCTAATAGATCATGTAATTTCCCTCCTCCTTGAGGAGTTTTCCTCTCATCCATCTTAGGAATATTAGCCCCATCCTTGAGGTACCTAAAAATAAAGCAGTGTGAATACCATTCTTAGCAGTTACTGTTGAGTTACCACTGGATGTCTTGTTCTGCAATACTTAGTTCTCTCTTCAAGATTGGTGTCAATTAGATCTATAAGCAGTTACATTTCATTTTTGCAAGGCAAGGAAGTTTTAAAATGTGTCTTTTCTAGAAAAGGTAACTGGCTTGCAAAATGTGGGACAACAGATTATTTATGTGATAGTCAGATGACTATTTAGCACAGACATGAGTTTAGAGATCCTGATGTGATTAGCAGGCAGTTTTCCACCTTTAGTTTCTGAGGAACGTGTATTAACTTTTGTTTTCTTGTTACTGTGCCAAAATGTTATGTATCCTCCTGGTACAAACTTTTTCCTGATAACCTTTTGTCATGTAGGGGGAAATGCTGCCAAGTCCATCAGACTATAAATCTTCCCTGATAGTCTTGACAGTGCAGAACTGGCTTCTACGTCTCTCTGCTGATAGTGGAGAAATACTGGAGAAAATATACCTTGCTGGTTCCTGTTGCAAATTCAGGTATTAAACATCGACTAGGCTTTATATAATTAACATCATTAGTACCATACTGGAGAAAGGCATTCATGTTTATTTTGGCACTATCCTATGGCTGACTTCAGGTTTGTTAGTCCAGCAGATTAACTGCAGTACTGTTCCCACATGCTTTCTATAGAAGAGTTTCAGCAGCTTAAGCATTATGGTCTCAAATTTGGTATCAAGTTCTGCAAAAGCCACAAAAGCTAAGCTATTATTGGCTTTTCTCTGACAATTTTACAGCCTTTAATATTGCAATAGCAGCATACCAAGAGAGGACCTTTAAGAGCTGTAAAAGAAACTTCGTAAAATATAAGAAAAATATGTTTAAAGTTTAATCCATTTTTAACTTGCAAGCATTCTTCTTCTTCATAGGGTAGCTGGTTTGCTCTTTAAAAGCAGAGCAGTTACTGCTTCTGGTAATCTGCATCTTTGTTTCAGTTCTCAGAAGAAATTATTTCCTTTAGGCTGAAGGCTAAGAAAGGGGTGATTAGTGAAGGGAAGGAGAAAAATTTTCACACTTCAGAATTT